GGGGGGGGGGGGGGCAACTAATTGGTAATTAAATGGCAATTAGTAACCAGCAACGGGAATTATGTCACGAAGGGCTGTCCCCCCCTTGTTCTTTGAGCTTCTCTGCTAGTGGGTGTGCACGGCTGGGTGTGCACAGTCGGGCGTTCACCATTGGGTGTGCACGGTTGGCTGTGCATGGTCAGGTGTGTGTGACAGGCGTGCAGAGCCGTGTTCGTGCACCTATGGGGATTTGTGGCACCGAGCAAAGGTGTGAAAGCAGTTGTGCACGTGTGTGTGCGCACCATCGGCCACGCGGGTGAGATCAGTGCCGGGTGTGCGTGCGACCCACTGTATGTTTGCCTGGGAGGGGGGGTGTGTGCGTTTCACTGCTCGTGACGCTGCCTGTGTGTGTGTCGGGGTGTACACCTGCATCTGTGTTTTTGTGGTGCTTGTGCATGTAAGGGGTGGCTCTGAGCGTGCGCAGGACGCACTTGGGGGTGTGCACGAGGGCTACGCGTGTGTGCGTGCCCGGGTGTGCGTGTGTGTGTTCACAGGGCACGTGCCTTGCAAAGGGGTGTGATGGTCAGGTGGGTCTGGCTGCCTGTATTTTTGGGAGGTGTGTGCTCGCAGGAAGGGAGATGTCTGCGTGTGGCTGTGTGTACATGCCCAAGGTTTTGGGAAAGGGGGGATAAGGTCGGGGGGGTTGGGGGGGAGGCTGTGCCAGGCATGTGCCAGGTGGGACAGAGCCCCCGAGCTGCGAGCATGCTCCACCGCACGCAAAGGTGGCCACATTTTGGGAACGCTGTCTCAGTGCTCAGGAGGGCAAACCCTGCCCATCCCACAGGCCTAAAGCTCCCGAGTGCCTGCTAATTAATTTGTTAACAAGGGAGATAGGGCACTCTAACCACTGGGCATAACAGGGTACAGGGCTGAGTTGACTTTAGGGACCTCAGGCTGCCCTTAAGGTCTTTCCTTTAAGTCTGCTCTGAACATGGCAGGATACCACTGCCATCCTTCTCCATCATCCCTCCACACCATCATCATCCTCCTCCTTCCTCTCCATCCCACTCACGGGCCTGACCCCAGTCCTGGCAGCAAAGGCTCAGGCTGGATTGTACATCCAAGTGAAGGTGCTGGGGGTGTCATCCCCCACAAAATAAGGTGGCCACATCTGCCCTGCCTGCTGGCAACATCCCTTGGTTCACACTCTGCCCCAAACCATGCCCAGGAGCTCTCTGGGTTGGCACAGACCCAAACCAGGCTGATGATGGAATGGTCTGGATGCACGTGAGCATCCTCGATCTCCAACTCCAGCTCTGGGACAGGGATAGAGGTGGCTCTGGGACAGGGACAAAGGTGTTTCACAGGGACAGGTGGGGAAGGACTGGGATATCACCCACTGGTCCCTCCATGCAGGGAGGTGCTGCAAATCGACCAGTTCCTGAAGGAGACGGCTGCCCGCGAGGCCAACGCCAAGGTCCGCCTCCAGCACTTCATCGAGGAGCTGCTGGACCGGGCAGACCGGGCTGAGAAGCAGCTCCAGATCATCAGCAGCAGCTGTGGCACCACCCCAAATGGCAGCCTGGGACGCTGTGGCACGCCGGGGGCCAAGGCCGCCATCCGACCGGTACCTCCGCGGGCACAGGCACGGGCACCCCCGCGGCTTCGGGCATGCACCCATGTGGCTTCTCTGATAGAATCATAGAATCATAGAGTGGTTTGGGTTGGAAGGGACCTCAAAGATCATCCAGTTCCAACCCCCCTGCCATGGGCAGGGACACCTCCCACTAGAGCAGGATGCTCAAAGCCCCATCCAGCCTGGTCTAGGACACTTCCAGGGATGGGGCATCCACACCTTCCCTGGGCAACCTGTTCCAGTGTCTCACCACCCTCATAGTAAAAAATTTCTTCCTGAGATCCAATCTGAATCTTTTTTCTTCCAATTTAAAACCGTTTTCCCTTGTCCTATCATTACACCTCCTGGCAACCCTTTGATGGCTGCAAAGGGTTAGGCAGGAAGGTGTAGGGACCCCCATCTCATTCCCACAGGGAAATGGGTAATCTGGGGCAGGGGGAGACCCAAAGAGAAGTTGCTTCTTGGTGGGTCTGCATTTCCACAGCAAGCATGAGCAAAGTGCTGGGGATGCTCCTCTGCATCCCGTTTTGGGGATGGCCTCACATAAGAATGTGGTTGGTGCTAAGTGGGTTATGGGGGTTGTCTCCCTCGGCTGCACCACCTACATTTTGGGTTTCACCAAGTTGGCTTCTCTGCCCACAGCGAGACCGGCACCCGGGGCCAGGGGTGGCTGTGCACGGTCCCTACGGCGTGTCCAACCAGCGCTCCTCCTCCAGCACTGGGTGAGTCCCTTGTCCGTGATGCCAGTTTGGGATTTTAATGGGATGCTTGGGGGTTTTTTTGGGGGGTAGGGGGTGCAAGGAGCTGAGGGGAAGGGGATGCAGACCCCAGTAAGTGCTGAGGCCGGGCATCCCCGTCCCCCAGTGCCTCCAGCCGGGCGAAGGCGGTGTCGCAGAGCTCGGGCTGCTACGACAGCGACAGCGCGGAGCCGTGTCCCACCGACGACACCGCCGACGGACACCCCTACCCAGCGCGGGACGGCGCCCGGGGCTCGGGGCTGCGCCGGCAGGCCATCCAAAACTGGCACCGCCGGCCCTACCGCAACAGCACCGAGGGCGAGGAGGGGGACGTCTCCGACGTGGGCTCCCGCACCACCGAGTCGGAGGCCGAGGGCTGGGAGCCGGAGGCACCCGGATCAGCCGCATCCCGACCCACCGGCAGCTGCCGCCTGACGGGTGAGGCCACGCTGGGCTCTTCTGGTGGGGTGGGAGGACTGGGAGGCTGGGAGGTGGGGGACGGGGATGGCTTCTCCGCTCCGCAGGGAGCGTCCCTTCCCCGCTGCCCTCCCCAGCCGCCGGTGGCGACTGACGGTGGGTGTCCCACAGCCAGGACCGAGGGGGCTGGGGGCAAGGCGGGCCGGCTGGAGAGGGGCAGCCCAGGCCACTCCAGCGAGGTGATCAGCCCGGAGATTCTCAAGATGCGGGCAGCTCTCTTCTGCATCTTCACTTACCTGGACACCAAGACCCTGCTGCGGGCAGCCGAGGTGTGCAAGGACTGGAAGTTCGTGGCCCGACACCCAGCCGTGTGGACGCGGGTGCTGCTGGAGAATGCCAGGGTGTCCTCCAAGGTACCAGGGATGGGGATGGCACTGCCCCAGGCAAGACGTTTCTTCCAGAAAGAGGAAGCCGTGCAAGCCTCTCGCTTGTGTTGATTGTCGCGCTGCTATTGTCACGGGAACGTGGGTCCACACAGCTGTGTGCTTGCAGGAGCAGCTGGATCCATTGCACACTCACACCTGCATGCTCATGGGCATGATCACATGTGCACGCATTTTCACATGCTTTTGTGGTCACACCCATGGTTTTGTTGTGTCCATTCTTACGTGACCTCGGATGTGCATTTTCACGTATTTATGGCATGTGTGTGTGCATGCAGAAATGCCTCGCTGTGTGTGCATGTGTGTGCACGGGTCTGCCCAAGACAGCCAAGGATGGGTGGCATGGGGAATGCTGAGGGTGTCCCCCTCGGTGATGACCACCCCTGTCCTCCCAGTTCTTGGCCATGCTGTCTCAGTGGTGCACCCAGATGCACTCCCTCACCCTCCAAAACCTCAAGCCACGCCAGCGGGGGAAGAAGGAGAGCAAAGAGGACTACATGAAGAGCACACGGTGAGTCCCTGCATCCCGGGCCTCCTCCTCCTGCAACCAGAGTCACTGGTCCTCAGGGATGACAATGCTCCACGAGCATCAATGTCACATTTCCACTGATGGCCGTTCTTCACACCCTGGCTCCTGCTGTGGGTTTTGAGTGTCCTGGAGTTGTGGATCCTTCTGGGACACATCACGCTCCTGGGGTGGCTATGGGGAGAATAAGCTCATGTGCTACTGCCTGACCCTGCCTCCATCCCTGGCAGGGGCTGTCTGGAAGCTGGGCTGGAGTCTCTGCTGCAGGCGACGGGCAGCAACCTTCTCATCCTCCGCATCTCGCACTGCCCCAACGTGCTGACGGACCGCTCGCTCTGGCTGGCCAGCTGCCACTGCCGGGCCCTGCAGGCTGTCACCTACCGGTAAGGGTGGCCACCAGCATTCCCCCTTGTCCATGAGCACCATGTGGTTCCCTGGCTGGGAGAAGGCTGGGAACATCCATGGGACTCCTCTAATGCCCATCCCCATTCCCTGTCAGAATGCAGCCTGTCTGGCTAGATGCGAAGGACACACCTTTCCATATCCCTAGCCCAGCAGCAGCCCCAGCGTCAGTGTCCCCAGTGCAAGTTGTCATCACAACTGTCATCCTCTTCTGGCGTGTTCCCATACAGATGTTTCCCTTCCAGCTCCATGCCCACCATCCTGTTACCCATCTCACCAGGGTCTTGGTATGGGAACTCTGCTTTACGTTAGAGGAGGGTGAAGAAGAGGTGCACCAACACCAGGGTCCAGTGAGGTCTCACCTGACTGTCACTCCGTGACAAAGGCTTCTAAAGGGGAGAAGAGACCTCTGCGTCCCTCTGTCCTGGGAGGGAGGAATGGCTCTGTCATGGGATTAGTAAGACCCAACTTGGAGACTTTGCCCAAGAGCAAGGACACAGGGCCCATGATGGTGTAGGTCCTGGAAGAGATCACTGACTGCTCCTTGGTCTTGGATACCTTCCAAAGAGGCTCTGCCTTCCATGGAGACAGGATTTACACATTCAAGGAGGATGAATGTGCTCCACTGCACCCTGCAAATGGCCACTTCAGCGTCCAGACCAGGATGGAGAGTCCTTCAAGTGGGAAAACACATCCAGCTGGCTCCTCTGTTTTGGACCAAGTGAGATCTGATGTGGCTTTGATCCTGGGACCCCATGCTGCAAGCGAGCCCAGCAACACCAGGTTTAACCCAAAGACTCTTTCATTGGCCCTTCCAAGGGCATTAGAGCAAGCCCAAGCGCTCCTGGCACCCTGCTAACCTGTGACTCTGACTCATGCTCTAATTAACCTGCCGCACTCGTAAGGGGCCCTTGGCAGGCATCTTCAGTGGGGACGTGTGAAACGCCCAAGATAACACCCATCGCTTATTTTTAGGTTTGCCTGAAGTTTCGAAGTAGGTCATTTAGAGTTAGGAAGTGTGGCCTCGGTCTTCGGGAGAGAGCCCAGTGAAATGAAGCAGCTGGGGTCCTCTCTCTGGGCTGGTAGCATCAGGACAACGCTCTCTGACACCTCTCCTCCATTGACTGAGTGCAGAGAGCTGACAGCATCAACGAAAGCTCTTTTGAGCCAGTGCCACAAATGCTGGGTGGGCAGACATCATGGCTGAGCCCAACCAGTGCCATGACTCCTGATAAACCTACTCCTCCACTATGCCCCTGCACGAATCCGGCAGCATCCCATAAGGCCTGTTTTGATACCTCCAAAAAGCACCAAGGAGCAGCCCACGGCAAACCTCTGCAGCGACATTTGGCCAACAGCCACGTAGAGATGTGGTAGCAGAACCACAGAGCTGGTACAGGGGCCATGGAGCAGCCACTGCCCTTGGTTGGAAGTTACCACCCATCAGCTGAAACATCCTTACCACCTCCTGGCACCTTCACCATCCAGGCTGGGCAGGTGGCAAGTGAAACCAAACCAACACGATCTGCAGGGATGTTATATTTGCTCTGCAAGGGTACACGGCCTGGCAGTCTCTGTTCAATCACTTTCCACCTTTGCACCTGGAAGACTTCTGCCTTCACCTTCAACCTCACCTTCAACTATTAACCTCACTTCAGCCTTTACTTTCAGCCTTACCTCATCTTCAGTCTCACCTTCAGCTTCACCCTCAACCTCACCCTCAACCTCACCCTCCTCCATTTTTTTTGACATTGCACATCCAAAGGCACAATTCCAGACAGAAATGCCTTCAGCCTTCCTGCATGGGTTGGTGTTGGGACTGTCTGGTTCATGGGAGATCGTGAGTTATAAATGATGACCAGATTTGTACCTCCAGGTTCAGAGAGATGTGGCAGCGTGGAGGCTGCAGACACAGCCCCTGGGGGGCAGCATCACTGCCAGTGGTGGCCACCATGTGTCCTCTGTGTTGTTCCAGGAGCTCCACAGACCCCGTGGGTCATGAAGTCATCTGGGCCCTCGGAGCAGGTTGCAGGGACATCATCTCCCTCCAGGTTGCACCTCTGCATCCATGGTAAGAGATGTGCTAGGAGGAGGCCAGGCTGAGTGTGAGGGGCACCACTGGCTGGAAAGAAATTGGGTGCCAGATCCTGATTTGCTTGGAGGGGGGGTTCTCATGGAATAAGCAGCAATCCTGGAGGCCAGTTTGGGGAGTCAGGAGTTGGGCTCCATTCCCCCCTGCAAAGGCTGGGAGCTGTTGGGTGCAGGCACCTCCCTTCTCAGCCAGGAAAGTTTCCGGGGAAGCTGCTAACACTGTTGATGAAAGGGGAACCATGATGGGCCTGTTAGGAGATGCTGAACATCAAACGCTTGTCTAAGCTCCTCACTGCTCATATAACAGCAGTCCTGAAGGGCCCAGATGTTTTTAAAAGGGTGTCACGTCGCTGCTCAGGGAGACAACTGCAGTTGCTCCCACTTTGGAAAAGCATTTTGGGGGTGTGAAGGTGCTGGTGGATGTCCACCTCACAACATCTGGGTGCTCAGGGTTTCATAGCTCACTGTGAAGGTCACTTGTCTCCTCACCTTCATGGGGCTGCCTCCTAGGCATTTCTTCTTGTCCTGAAGTTTGGTGTGATGTCATGTCCCCCGTCAGCCTGAATTGAGGTGTACAGAGGGGGATGTTCTTTTGCAGGAGAAGCTGGATCCCAGGTCCCTGATGGCTTGTTTCTTCATGGGGGGAAACAGCACGTGGCATGTAGGCTTCTCCAACTGATCTAGGGGTCCAGGCTCCTGCAACTAGTTTGATCACAGCAAGGAACAGAGTTCAGGGCCTGATTCAGTTCTCCAAAGGTGGAGAGTTTGGGGCAGAGGGTCTACACTGAGTGCGTGGATCTGCCCTGTCCTGGTTGCAACACAGCCCAGGGTGGTTGCTCAGACAGAGGCGTCTGCTCTGGAGACACCTCCTTACAGCGTGGCAACACCCAGGTTGGTGGTGTGGGAGACATCCCAGTCCCACACCACTTTCAGGAGTGCTCATAAGGGTGGGGGGAGAGGGATGTGTGTAAGCTTTTCTGCCAGCCCTCCCCACCTCTTTCTTCTTCATCTCCCCAGCCAGCAGCCAACACGTTTCAGCAACCGCTGCCTTCAGATGATCGGCCGGTGCTGGCCACACCTGCGGGCGCTGGGCATTGGAGGGGCAGGCTGCGGTGTCCAGGGACTGGCATCCTTAGGTAGGTAGCTCTCCTCTAGTGGGACAAAGAGAAGGGTATACCCTTGCTGGATGCAGGGTATACCCTTAGGAGATGCCCCATGGGGATCTCCATGGAGAAGCCCACCCCAAGGACCATGGGTGCACCCTGCCCCTCCTTGCTGACACCCATCCCTCCTACCACCCCATTCCCATTGGCTGTCCTCATCCCTTTCCCATGTGGTGCTGACAGCGGGTGCTTTGTCCTTCCAGCCCGAAACTGCATGCGGCTTCAGGTCTTGGAGCTGGATCACGTGGCAGAGATCAATCAGGAGGTTGCAGCAGAGATGTGTCGAGAGGGGCTGAAGGGGCTGGAGATGCTAGTACTGACCTCCACGCCGGTCACCCCCAAAGCCCTGCTGCACTTCAACAGTGAGTAGCAATGCTGGGGGGGGATGCATAGCATCATACATTGACCAAAAGGCCACCAGATATCCAGATCCATGAACCAGACCCTGCCTTCCAGCCCTGCCCACAGGAACCCACTGCCAACACTGGAAGGTGCTGGGAGCTCCGTGGTGAAAGGTTTCTAAGAGGAGATCCAACAGTCTCCTGCCAAGGATGGGCTAAGATAGCTGATCTTGTCTTGGGCCATAGGGAGGATGAAGACACTCCCTCCGTGCTGCCCTCAATACAATCAAGGCCTCCATTTCTGTGGCACACCTGAGGTTCACTCTGGTGTATCTGAGTTTGGAGTGATGCCATTTACTGAAGCCATTTGCCAGGATGGGAGCTCAGGGGAGAATGAGGTCTGCAGCCAACAGGAAGGTCTGTTTGAGGTGCCATTCCTCATGGTCATGGCATGTGTGACTTGCTGGGAACCCACCTATCTGCGTAGAAGAGTAAGGGTTTCCCAAGTAAGAGGTAGGACTGCTGAATTGGGATAGGACAACTGGGAAACATCTCGTAGACCACCATCCTCCCTACAGAGGTCTTGGCCACCAAGAGCAGGTCTCCTCCATCTTCAGGGTGAGGTTTCTCCAAATACATAAAGCTTTGAGGAACACTGGATGATTTTTAAGATCCATTCTGGCTGTGGGGAAGCTATCTCCTCACCAGGTATGGAGATGCCAGGTAGTATCTCTGCCCCCAGGCGTGTGCCGGAACCTGAAGTCCATCGTTGTGCAGGTGGGCATTGTGGACTACTTCAAGGAGCCCCACAGCCCTGAAGCCAAGAAGATGTTTGAAGAAATGGTGAACAAACTCCAGGTAAAGGATGTCATTCCCAGGTCATCCATGTGTCACCAGTCTCGTGTCTCCATGGGGATTTCAGCCCACTGCTGAACTTCCTTAGTAAAGAACATTTTAGCTCACTAGGGACCTCCTGAATGCTCACTGTCCATCAGACACGTATGCCCCAAAGGCTGAAACAAGATCTAACATGCTGTGATTTCTTCCCGCTGCTTTAACCAGGGCTGCTTCTCTGTGGGTCTCTTCCCTGGGGACATAAAAGGGCTGTTGCCTCTTTTGCAGGGCCACTTGCTTGCCGAACACTGTGAAGTGATTTAAAACCCACCCATGAAAGCACAAATAGGAGCAATTTTAGTTAGGCTGAGTCGCAGGCCTTGCTTAGCTTGTGATGCTAAGCAGGGCTTGGGTTGTCCTTGGTCTGTTCAGGGTCTCCAAGGCAGACACCTCCATCTGTGTCCAAGTGGAAAAATAGGTGTCTCCATTTCACTTGATCCTTTGGTTGACTTTTTCCTGCAATGGGTTGGGCTCCATGGGGGCATAAGGTGAAACTCCCATGAGATGCAGGAAAGCAGAACTTGGGGACGGAGGGCCACCAGCGCAGTCAAACTCCACTGCCAGGCCCTGGCATGGGAACAACAGCGGGCAGCGAGACAGACCCGTGTCCACCCCTAGGCTGAGGGTCACCTTCAGAGAAGGGCCATTTCAGAAGGGCTTTCCTTGTGTGGCCGCTGACCATCATGCTTTGCAAATCCCAGTGGGATGTGATGGTGGGGATGGGACCAGGGTAGACCCCTTCCCATGGTGGAAACTCGAGATGTCCTCTCCTCTCTCTTGCTCATTCTCCGGGACTGCAAGACTGCCAGGTCCTGCACCGACCATGTTCTCTGCCCCTCTTGCAGGCCCTGAGGAAGAGACCCGGCTTCTCCAAGATTTTACACATCAAAGTGGAAGGAGGCTGTTAGACCTTCAGGGAACCACAAAGCACATTCCCTCTTCAGCCCGGCACAGCCAGAGGCCCCATGAAACCAAACCCACTGTCTGCCGCTCATCCGTTGCTGGACCTGGAGCACGGAGATGCCGGCCCATGCACAAAAAACCCAAACTCTTGCAGGCCTTAGTGACTGGCAGCCGGTGCTCATCCCCGGGGCCAGCTCGCAGGCGAGAAGGTGCTACTTAAGGAAATTTTTTGGCTGCCACAAGAGGCAGAGCTACACTCTTTCCCAGGAGGGAAGATGGCTTCGAAACCCCTGCGGCTGCTCGTTGCCAAGGATCCTTGTTTGGGGAATGTCTTTTTCTTTGAACTCTCTTTCTGATGGTTTTTTTTTTTCGGCCGTTCAAAGGTGTGGGAACTGAGGATGGATCATTCTGTCCCCATGAGCTCTTTGCAGAGCGCTGGGCTTGGTGCCACTGCATCACGGCTGGACTGTCCCCATTCTCTCTGTGGGCTGGTGGAGCTGGGGTGGGAAGGGGGCATTCCTGCAGAGGAAATAGTGCCCAGCATTCCTGCAGGGTTTCTGCTAGTTCTCATTTCATTTGTTTAACATCAGGGCACCCAAAACTAGGGAAATACTGCCCAGAAACCAGCAGCCATGACAGCACAAGCCTGGATGGCAGAGCTGTATCTCGGGGGCTGTAGGAGCCAGAGGACACCAGAAGAAATGGTCACTCTTCCAGAGGCCTCCAGCCTCACCTCCTCTCCACCCAGGCCCTCCCTGCCAAGGCAATAAACCATCTCCAAATCCTCATCCACCAGGAAACACAGGTCACGCTTCTGTCCCCACCAACATCCACCAGCCACTCAGACTCCCTCCAGAGTGAGTTGCCCATGTGGAGAGAGGGACTGGCATGGGACACCCACGTTTACCATCTCATTGCCTTCCCAGGCAGCCTGAAGGAGAAATCCTGGCCAAATTGTCCTGAAATCCAAAGCTGCTGGTGAAAACACCAACTCAACTGCCCTAGTAGATCCCTTATCTATGGCCACAGCTATTTGGTTTTTTTAATTCTGCTTTTTTCTTCTGGCTGTTTTCTGCCTGCAAGGACGTCATCGCCTCCAAAATACCCTTTTTCCAAATGAAAAAGCTTTTGAAAGGCATCTGGCAGGATCAGGCGTCTCCATCCTCCAGCCTAAGGAGAAGGTGCCAGGAGGTGCCCACACCATGGGGCACACACATCACAGCACTGCCAGCAGCAGGGACACACTGGCCTTAACCACAGCCCCCTACCACCCTGAGCCCCAGCCAGACGTGCTTGGACCTGACATGCTGAGCTGAGGGAAGCCAACTGGGAAAAGCAGATTTTGTGAGTTTGTCCTCTCCTTTGGGCCATCGTTGGAGGTTTCACTGTCTGTTGGCTGGCATGGCTGCAAGGAGACAGCCCTTCCTTGGGCATCTCCCCTTCCTCCAGCCCTCCTGGGGTGACTTCCCCAGGAGGAAGAAGGCTACAGACCCATCCTGGTACTACATTCCTCATCCACGTCACAAGAGCTGCAGACCTCAGCCGGGGGCTCCCAGCATGCTGACAGCCCAGGAGACCCCGATAGAAAACAAAATCTGTTCCAAATCACTGAAGCTGGTAGTGGGCTAGAGGCAGCTCCTGAGTCTCCAACTCCAGAAAGCACCTCAGGAGATCATTTCATCCACGCCTTGTCCTGTCCTGCTGTCTCCTCTGAAACGGGGAAGGGTTTATTGGCCATAACCCCCCATTTGAAGCACCTCTGTTCTCCGGCTGACTAAGCTTTCCAGGAGAAGGCTGTTCCATGTATGCACAAATTATGGGAGCCCAAAAGAACACCTGCAAGAAACTACTGCATCCCACCATGCCCCCGTGGGCAGCATTGGATGAGCTCCCCGGCACTGGGGATGAGCTCACTGCCATGCCCACCATCCCGGGGAGGCTGGGACACGCGTAACCCAGGGGCAAGAGGAGCAAAGGATGCCCCAACCAGCAAAAAACCCACCCAGCAAAGCTAAAACCCCCCGAGTTTTAGCCATCCCACACGCATGGTCCCAGTGGAGAAGTCACCATTTGAAACGGCGCAGAGACTTGCAAAATTCCCTTAAAAATAAAACAAAGTAAGTATTTATTTCTATAAAGAAAAGAAGGAAAAAAAAAAAAGATTTTAAAGGAAAATTATATACTCAGCATGTTTATACACTCTATGCTTAAAGACTATCATGTTGGAGAGTCATGTCTGAAGACTGAAGGTGGCTGCTCCGGGTTTCCTGCTAACCCAGGCCCAGCCACTCACCCGGCTCATCTGGGTCATGGGGAAGGTGAAGATGGGGTGATGGAAAGCAGGGGGAGAAGCTGAGGACTCTTGGAGAAACCTTCTATGCTCACCAGTGAGGCCAGCACGGCTGCTGGTGCCATCAGTGGCTGTGTCTGCTGGTGGCCATGGTGGCGTGGAGTGTGGGTAGGTGTGTGACGTCCCTGTTCCCCACTGCCGCGAGGGTTTTGTAAGTCATGGCAGAAGAACCTCACCCAAATTTGGTGCTTCAATGTATCTTCAAGACCAGAGTAAACCATCTGCCTCCCCTTGGGACATTCCCAAAAAGTCCAGCTTCTGGCTTAGCAAAGCCATGTTTTTACAAAAATCCTGCGATGACACAAGACCTTGAGCAGTTTCAAGGATTGGAAGATGGAAAGGAGGGTCTTTTACCCATTTTTCTTGATGCCTAGGCTTGGATGAGTCCCTTCCTCCATCTCCTCCTCAGCTGAAGATGAAGGTGGCTGGCACAGGCTTAGTGGTAATGAGACCCCTGTGTCTCCCTGTCCCTCCTGGTAGCTCCTAATTGCCCAGATTGTTAATGGCAACGAGCTCATTAACAGCTCCGTATCTCTTCCGCTGAAATGTCATATTGATTTCCCTGCTGCTTTCCCTCTCCATTCCACCGGTGCGTGGCCCTGTTGGGTCCCCCACAAATCCCCATCGCCGACCCCCATCCCTACGGGATGCTCGGGTGGCGCTGCTCATGGCTGTAGGATTCACCACATCAACCACAGCTTTTCAACCCCATTTCTTCTGGAAATGGTGGAGATGCACAGAAATACCAAATCCTCTGGGAAAGCCTTGAAACCACGCGGTGTATTTGGGTGCTGATTGATAGAGAAGGGACAGCTGCAGTATGAGCTCAGCCCCATACTAGACCCTAGAGAAGCCCCAGAGGGGCTCTGCGATGACAATCCCCAGCAAAAGCCAGGGCACAGCCACCCAACCCAGGTCAAGCATCCACAGTGAGCAGCTTTCGGTTGGGGTCATGGTGATGGTCAGGACTGGCAGGGGCTGGATGGATGGTGCTGCCAGTTCCTGCCAGGTTTGGTGCCTGCAGGACAAGTTTTGGGGGCATTTCTTCCTTTTCTAGTGAGTTAGCCCAAAGTTTCCTTGTGGCCAACACTCGCGACATTCCGTGTCTCTCGAATTTGGATGCTGGTCAGGGATCTCAAGAGGAACAACACCAGCAAAGTCAGCTTGGGGGCTAAAGTTATCCATGTTTTTCTGTCTCGCCTCATGTGTTGGATTTTGCTCATCATCCACAGCTGCGAGTCCCCAGGAGCTAGGAATGCTCTGGGGACCGGCTGTCTCCTGCCTTCATCCCTCTGCCCCCAGCTTGGGGGTGTCCAGGGGTGTGAGGTCTCTAGAAAAAGGGGGAACGCCCCCAGTTTGGGTCTGTCCAAGGAGGTTTTTAAACCTCTTTATCAAGCAAAGAAGGCAAGGAAAAAAAAGATATGCCACCTCGCACCACATGTGACAGTCCCAGCTGCCACCACGGCCGGCCCTTGGACAGCTCGTTTGGATCCTCCAAAAGGCTCCAAATTTGGCTAAAACAGAACAACAAAAAAAAACCACGAAAAGTGTTGATAAAGGCCCTTAATGTAGTTGAACAATGCTTCCTTCTCAGCTCTTAGAGGAACCCACCCCAGGAGCTGGCGCATCGCTTCAGCTGATCGCTTTTGGGTTGAAAACCTGCAGGTTCGGGTGGCAGGAAAGCATTTGGGAACCGGTGCCAAATGACAAAATGCTTTAAAAAAAAAAAAAGAAAAAAGAGAGGGAAAAAAAAATAATCAGGGAGCGGGGAGATTTTAGCAACCAGAGATGGTTTGTCTCAACTGAAGCATGGCAGGGTGTTGTCACAAGGTGAGCGGTGGTGACACACAGCCCTCCCCACCGGTGGGAAGGAAAATAATCCCTGCAGCGGGTCAAACGGTCCCTCCTGCCCCCAGGAAAAGCTGCTGCACATCCTTGCCCAGTGTGCAGCAGCAAGGAGAGGAGGGAAAACTACCCAAAAGCGGGGAAAAATGGGATTTTTCTGATCCAGCCTCGGGATTGAGCCCCCTGGAGAGAGGGGGGACGAGGCGGGCTGGGGCCGGGGACAAGTGGGTGCAATGGTGCGGGAGGGAGACGGCTTGTTGGGAAGCGAGCGCGGTAACGCACACTTGCTTAGAGATAATCAGAGGACGAGCTCCCCGCGGGGAGAGGGGAAAAAAAATATATATAAAAATATATATACAGGAATGGCAATTATTTCCCTAAAGCACTTCATGGCGGTGTTTGCTCCCGCCCAAGTTCAGCCCTGGTGAGCGACTTTCAAGGGGCCCTGTACAGTGACCTCCTCCTTCCCCCCCCCACGAAAGGTAGCAAGTTTGCCTCCTAAGTTATTTTTTTAAATCTATATAAATTTAGGTCTATTTTAGTCTTTTCGCAGCGATGTGCCAGTGTCTGGAGAACCAAACATCCCTTCTTCCCCCTACCCCACGGTCCCTTGATGCTAAACCGGGTCCTCGATGCTAAATCTGCCCTGGAAGGTGTGTTGCCCCGGAGTTGGGGGAGAGGAGGGGATGTGGGGCGCAGCTGAGATTGGGGTGTCAGGGGGAGGCTCCGGGTGGTTTTGGTGGCAGCAGGGTCCAACGCTGGCCGGGGAGAGGGGGCGAGGTGGGGGGTGCTGCCCAGCGGTTGGGAGACTGTGGTTTTAGCACTTTGGTTGGTACTATCACCTGTAGACGCACTTTGATGTTGTTGCTTTGAAACTTTGCCGAGTGTAAACAATGTGTACTTACCCAATTACAAAAAAGAGAAAAAAGGAAAAAAAAAAAGTGTGTAAAGAGCTATTTTATGATTCAGTGTTGAATAAATACTCTTGAGATTGAGGTGGGATTTTCACTCTCCTGGGAGCCACGCGCTGAAGCCAAGCCGCTTGGCCAGCGCCAAACCAGCGAGACCAGTTGCTGTTTGGGGCTTACTGGAAGCATCCCTCCTCCTGCCTCCCTCTCCCTGCAGGCACAGGGGGTTCAGCACCCGTGGTCTCTACTGGTCATGCCCCACGGGGGCACAGAGACAAAAGGGGGCAGCCTCCCCCTGATCTCAGCTGCACAGGAGCAGTTGGCAGCCCCAACTGGTGGAGAAGGCAGCCCAAGGTGGCTGGAAGATTCCTGGTTGCCAGACCACAACCCCACAGAGTCCGGGATCAGTTTCCGCTGTGGGGGGAGCAGCCTCCCCCTGATCTCAGCTGCACAGGAGCAGTTGGCAGCCCCAACTGGTGGAGAAGGCAGCCCAAGGTGGCTGGAAGATTCCTGGTTGCCAGACCACAACCCCACAGAGTCCGGGATCAGTTTCCTCACCAGGCTGATCAGGTGCTGGGATGTGGGACCACACTGCCATGAGACAGGCAGGAAAAACCACACTCCTCCAGGTCCCTGCTGCTGGAGGGGAACAGCCTCAGCCCCATGGATCCACCATCTGCCATGGGCAACCCACCAGCCCCTACTAGTCCCGCTTTTTTCCCCTCCCAGGCTGCCGAGCTGGCTCTTGGGAGTGTTCACCTTTAAATGACACCCCTAAGAAACACCAAGAGGGTTTTACACAGAAGCTGCAACCGCGCTCACTCTTCACTGCCACCACTCACACCATTGTGCTGAGACAAGTGGCCACGAGGGTCACCTTAAGGGATGCACTGGATGGCTCCAAGGGGGCCTGTAGTGCTCGTCGCACGGTGAACAGGCCAGAAGTACCACATTTTGTGGTGTAACAGACCATCAAGTCGCCTAATTAAATGACATCTCAAAGGGTGGATACCAGACAGATACCACATTTCCACCACTGTCTTCCATTAACGCTTTCAATGTACCAGACCCAAGTCTCCCCACGTTCCTCAAGAGTTTTCCCACCAGAGACGCCCCAAGCCCTAGGATCCATCCCACCAGCCCCACATATCCCCTTCCCCAGAGCCAGGGCCAGAGATGGCAGACACAGCTGCTGCCCTGAGCCACCTTCCGTAAGCAGAAGGCGAGCTGTAAATGGCCCATTAAGCAAAAGCCAAGTAGAAATGTCACTGAGGAATAGCCAAGAGCTCAGAGAACCCGTGCAGGGGCAATCCGGCCTGGAAGCGCTGGGAACTGGGGTGCACTGGGAGCGGGTCCCGCTTCCCAGCACAGTGGTTGCTTTTAAAGGTCAACCATTTAACTCTCAGCCATGAGCTACCACCCTGCGGAACGAAGCGACCAGCAGGAAACGGAACACCCCTATTTGCCGCTGAAACAAAGTCATCTTTTTATTGTGTTTGAGCCTGGGCTAAAAACCCCCAGCAAAAAAAAAAAAAAAAAAGAGAGTATAAATAGGACCAAACCCCACCCTGCGGCACTACCTGCCAGCACTGAAGAGGGCTCTGCTCCGCGCAGGTTCCAAGTGGAAGGAGGCGGCGAGCCTGAGGGGATCAGTGCTGTGTAGGAAATGGTGGGGCAGGGCATCTCGCAGGAGGCTGCCGCGGCCGAGGCCAAGATTGGACTCTAATTAAACAAGGCCAGTGGTCGCCCGCAAGCCCTCGAAATGACCATCTGGTAAACAGCCCGTTAATTAAGCTAGAAATCAACTCTTCTTCAATTTGCCTGTTGGAGGAGAGCGCCAGCCCGTCACAAGGCTGATGGGGACCGGGGTCTCAGTGGTTGTGGGGTCTGCCTCGCCCCCGGCCCCGGCCGCCGGGCGCAGCATCCACGGTGGAGCGGGGGTTCTTGATGGTCTCGTCCACGGAGACGATGAGGCAGGCGGCCTCGGAGGCTGCCGTCAGCGCGTTGATGCGCACGATGGCCGGCTCCCACACACAGGCCTCAAAGTTGTCGGCGATGTCCTCGTTGTTCACATCCACACCGTACCACATTCCTCCCTGGTGGGAGAGGGAAGAGGGAAGAGAGCCTCCTTACTGGGCTACTCAGGACTGCGGGGACAGTGCACTGGGAAGCCAACACATGCAAATGCTCAGGGAGAGACAGAGACTGCACCTTGCTGTATGAAGGAGGAATATTTGAGGGAAACAAAGCTGGGCAGGGAAAAAGCCTTTGTTGTCAGCAAACAGCACCAGCAAAGGCTCATGAAAGAGGTGTGCTCCATTTCTGGAAGAACCTGTAGAAGCCTCACAGGACTGACTTCCACGCCACTGCTTTCTCACTCTCCTACCCACAGCTCCAGCTTTTGCAGCTGCTTATTTTGGGGCACTCCTCCTAACTCCACAGTCACCATCAGGGCGAAATAAGGTGGGAGTGACCCCACAAAGCAGCAGCTGCTTCCAAGAGAAGCCAAAGGGCAACCTCTAACCGCCTGAATCAGGACTTCAGGTGCATACACACCACAAGATCTGAAATGATCACAAGCAATCAGGACCTTCAGTCTGCAACGCCTCTGGAAACACACAGCTCAACCAACTTCTACACTCCAATTACTTTAATATTTAATATAGAAGCCTCCCTCCCGACAAACGATGTATTTTTAAAAAGCAAATCAGAACTCCCAGCTCTAGAAATGACTTGACAGCTGTGATCAAAGGGAAAACAGATCATTGCCTTTTATAGAAACCCGCACCAAGCCCACACTTGATCTGAAAACAAAACACTGCATTTAATCAAAGAGGACACAAGCCTAACATGGGCTGAGCTGAATTACACCGGATCCCTCAGGCTGAAGAAAAACAAAGAAAGAAAGAAAGAAAGAAAGAAATCCCACACACCACTGGTTCTCCCAAACAGCCCCCGGTTCAAAGGTGGGCACCTACCTGGGCGTGCTTGGCTCGGAGCTTGTTCAGAATGTTGGTGGCATCAAAACCCGCATTGTCACAGAGCTGGCGGGGAATGATCTCAAGGGCTTTAGCATAAGCACCTATCAGCAGCTGCTGCTTGCCTGGAATGGTCCTGGAGTAGTCCCGGAGGTATTTGGAAAGCTCCATCTCTATCGCACCACCACCAGCCACAACCGAGTCGTTCTAAAAGAAGAGGGGAAACTCATTCCAAGAAGGGGGAGAGCAGGAAAGCATCCCTTCCTGCAAGTGTTGCACATCAGGGTGATGCAGACACACCAGGCCTAGGGGAATCTATAGCCCAGGCTGCTGCCACCCCTGGAAGCACGTTCCAGCTTTGCTGGGAGCTTCAGAAACAGGCCAAGAACCTCCCGTGGCAGCTACCAGCAGTTCTTCCCTGCTGTGCACAAGATAAAGGAGTGGTTGGGGACGCTGCACCAGGGGAGGGATGACAGACCACAGGCCCCTTGTGCTGGGCAAGTCTCCCTCACTTCTGTAAGCATTCAAAATTAAAGATATTTGCAGCAGCACTTCGCAGCCAAGTTCTGCTATTTTTTCGCCTCCCTATTTACTTCAGTAGGAAGATCAGGATGTTCTTTCTAAAAGCAAAACAGTTACAAAAATCTTGACATGCTTCTTCCCATCCCCGCAGGGCACTCAGCCTCAAAGCTGTTTTTAACCAGAAAACACCACATTAACACTTTATTATGCATAACCCAGAAACACACGCAGTTAGGCAGCATCTATCACACAGGACCAGGAACTCCACAACTAAGAACACAGGCCCACACATGCCTCAGACATGCCTCTTGGTGCTCTCAGCCTATTTTCACAGCCAGGGGACAGTTTCCCTCTCAGACTGGTCACCAAGAGGGAGAACAAGTGGCTTTAACAGGTGCTGACATGCACATGAAATCAATCCTGCTATTCACTGAAGATCTACCTGGCGCAGCCAGAAGATTGTGTTCCCTTCAGGACGGAGGTCTTTACAGAACACACACCCCAACCCAGCAAGCACAAGTTATG